GAGGGTGTTTGAGAACAGGGTGTTGAGGAGAATATTTGGACCAAAGAGAGATGAAGTCACAGGAGGTTGGAGGAAACTGCATAATGAGGAGCATCATAACTTGTACTCTTCTCCAAGTATAATTAGAATGATCGAGTCAATGAGGATGAGGTGGGCAGGTCATGTAGCACGAATGGGGGAGATGAGGAATGCATATAGGATATTGGTGGGAAAGCCAGAAGGAAAGAGAAGACAGGGAAGACCAAGGCGTAGGTGGGTGGACAATATTAGAGTGGATCTTAAAGAGACAGAATGGGATGGTATGGATTGGATAGATCTGGCTCAGGATAGGGACCAGTGGAGGGCTATTGTGAACATGGTGATGAACCTTCGGGTTCCATAAAATGCTGGGAAATTCTTGAGTAGCTGCAGAATTGGCAGCTCCTCAAGAAGGGCTCAGCTCCATGAGCAAGTAAGTAACCAAGCAATGGCAGGCCAGTCACGGTAGCCGAGCAGTCTAAGGCATGCACATTCTTCACTCACTCAGAAGCGGGATCATGAGTTTGAATCCCACTCAGGGCATGGATGTATAGTGTGTGCCTGTGTACGCGCGTGCACGCACGCACATGTGCATTTTCCTGTGTTTGTCTACAGGCAGAGGCCTTGTGATGGGCTGATCACCTGCCCAAGGAGTCATACCGAATATCTTAAGATCTAGTAAACTGAAGTAAAATGGAGAGTTTCATGGAGGTAGGCCAAGGCCAAAATTGGGGCTGTACTGCCAAAAAAAAAAAAAGAAGAAAAGAAATACAGGCATATACAATAATTAAATCTGGCACAGAACATAATCATAAGCAAATGAAACACATAGCATTTAATGCACATATATAAAGAGCTTGAAATTTAACTATGCAGGATTCTTTTAGTGAAATGTAATATCAGGTACTCCACTTTTATATGACAAATTTCTGCATAAAAAATTTATATACAGCCATTCAAATATATACCTTTTCTCTTCAAACACATCAAGGTTATCTTCACCCTGTGAATGCTCTCCTCCTGACAATGATTTTTCTTCTGGAACTGTACATTCTGTAATGAAGTTACATTACAAATATGTAACTAAAGAAATATTAGGCACCACAAGTTTTTCTGCTTGAAAATAAACCTCCTAAAAACATTCCATCACTTTCAGAGTTTGATGAACAGTGACACAGCTAGTGTGCAGCTATGTTCCAAGCTACAACATGTCCTCTAACTTTCCCTCTGAAAGTTTCCCTTCTAATTAAATAAAAATGTATATTGTGACCTGATACTCACATACTTGCACAAAATAAATGGTCTTAAACCCAAAACCGATCTATGTCCATAAGTGTACATGTGGTGTGGTTAAATAATTTCTGAACTGCATACTTTTATATGTTATGACTGCATTTATCCTCCACTGTCTGCTATTCCGTGCTCCCCCTTTGAATTACTTCCAATATGCCTTAAGGCAGTGGGTCATTACTGTTGAAAGCATTAGCAGAAACCTGTCTCATAAACTCGGCAAGTAAAACCTGCAACTGTTCTTCAATTATGATGATGTCATCAACTCTCTCTCTCTCTCTTCAGTGCCAACTTGAATGTTAAAAAAGAGAAGTTCCTCAGGGAATTGAGGGTCCTGAAGGTCATGACATAATTAGCACAACTCTCATTCTCATCAACAGCAGCACACAAGGCACAAATTCTGTGGCAATGTGTCACAGTTAGACAATCCAAATTAAATTCCCACCTCATTAGTCAAGATGCATATAGTGCTTTCATGAATGTCACTTAGTTTAACAAAATTTTCTTCTTTCTGCTCATCTGATGTAACTCAATATTTGAACTTGAAAACACAGGAACATTTTGGGTTGTGCTCATTGTCTCCTCCCTGCAACAGTTTGGGCTTGTCTGAAGCAGAACTTGATGTAAATGTGCTCTTCTCTGAAGAAATGGAAACTGCACAGGGCCCACCCCACAACCTCACTTCACAAGGTATTACTTCTGTGTGACATAAACTACAACTTCAGTTGTACTGTGCATATGTTTTGTATTTATATGACATATGTACTTCGCATCCTGCAGTCATTTTGACTAAGTCTGGATCCAGGAAGTGCAGTGCATTTTAATGTAAATAAGAACTGCAGTTAGGACAAAATCTCTTTGCGAGATGGACGTGAATGGCAAATGATGGCAGATACCATTCCACGTCCATCTCGCAAAGAGATTTTGTCCTAACTGCAGTTCTTATTTACATTAAAATGCACTGCATTCCCTGGATCCAGACTCAGTCAAAATGACTGCAGGATGTGAAGTACATATGTCATATAAATACAAAACATATGTACAGTACAACTGAAGTTTTCACACAAGAAAACTGAACAAAACACAATGGTTACACAAGGGACTGTTCAAAAATACATCCACATATATACATCAATACTGTCAACATATTATTTACACAATTTTTATTGGATAAGTAGAATAAGTGTGTGTTTAAGTATCATTTCAGTGATATTTGAAACCAAGCTATTTCATTCATAAGACTTTTCAGATCATGGCAGATTACTGAAAATTCTGATCCTAGGACTGCATGACAGGTTAGCAATTGCTGTAGGGAGATAGTACTGCCTTAATGTGATCAGTCTAGAAACTAACTGATCACACCTCATACGTACAAAGAATTGGATGTGATAAATATCACACCCAATGTATAAAGACTGCATGAGTGGCACAAATCTCCTTGTTAACCCTTTGTCCACCAAATGTGTTTAGGATAAAAACTCTGGTGACTGCAAGAAATGTACAAAATATTTTGTACATTTTATTAAGATGGGAGAGTGTGTACAATCTGTTGCTGGCCACATGAATGTTGGAAAAATGAAAAGAGAAATACCAAAGTTAAGGACTAGGATATTGTGGGTCCAACATTCCCAGTGTGTGTGGCAGTCACGGGGTTAAATACACACTTCTTTGAAAATTATAAGTAAATCTGAACGTTCAGACTGCCATTATTATTATGCCATACCTGATAATGGTGCACACTGTTTTGGGGCACGATGAAGCCTATGATGAACTGGTTTCTGTCCTGGGACAGGTACAGGTGGTGGTGGTCGGTGTGGTAATCTATCAGAGCTTTGTCTGCTCAACTCCTGTCTCTGAAAATGTGAGCGACTTACATGTGATGGGGTTTCACTGTGATGACCTCTCAGCTCCACTTCTCCTGCCAAAAGCAGAGTACATGATACTTACAAGTCATAAAAACATTATGCATCAACATATGAATTCTTGATGTTTACATAATAATCTGCAATAGAATAGACTGAATTCAAAGTCATCTTAAAGAAAGGACCCTGAATAATTATGGATCTATATATCCATTCCCCCACATGCCTTCATGGAGTAGTGTTTCATTAGTTAAACACAAGGGCAATTTCACCTTTTTACCCTTGATAATAAACACCACCTTTCAAAATGATGTTCTTTCTTTCCTCTTGTAATTTGCATAATATATCACAGTTACAGAATTTGAGGTTCTCATAGCGGTAGTTGTGAAGAGTACTATCTTCCGGGATATAACGCCATGCAGTCCAATGAAAGTCAACCGATGTTTTGGAGGAATATATTACCTCCATCTTTAGAGTCAAATAAGCCGAGCACGACACCAGCGTGAAAACACATTGCATGGCACCTTACTCGACTTCTCATTCTACTTACTGAAACAAAACATACAAGCACTGGAAACATATCAGATTAACCAATGGAGACCGTATAAATAATGCTGATACAATTTCTCTCAAGAGAAATAGAGTGGGGTGGATAAAATAATGCAACCACTAAGAAACTGAGGAATAAAATTTATGCTGGCTACATTGAAAGAACTTCAGCTGCCAACATTAATGTTCTTCTGTTTGTTCACACTCTGTTGTGCTTGTGTCAGTGCATTAGTGACTGTACTGAGTGACAGTCCAATGGGAGATTTGTCCGATTTTGAAAGAGGTTAGATCTTTGATGCACATTTAGATGGAGCATCTGTGAAAAAACATGTCACATTATCAGGTGTATTGAGAATGACAGTTTTGTAAGTTGATGTTGCCATACACAAATCATGGGAAAATATCACCAAAGAGGAACAGTATGCAAAAATCAACAGTGACAGAAACAGAGTATAGTACATTGAGGGTTGTTTTGAAAAATCACAGAACTACTGCAGCACAGGTGAAAAGACAGCAGAACTGAATATTCATCTTGAAGGCCCTGTTTACACAAAAGCTGTCTGATGTGAGCTTCACAAAGCCAACATCCACAGTAGGGCAGCAACTGCTAAACCTCTGATTACTGAAAGTAATGCTCAGAAGTGTAACGATGGTGTCAGGACCATAAAACCTGGACAACAGATGACTGGAAATGTGCCTCTGATACAGTCAGATGAGTTATCCTTCACACTGTTGCTTACATCAGCAACAGTTTACATTTGGGGAACCCCCAAGAAAGCCTACAATCCAGAATACCTGGTTCCAACAGCGAAACATGAGGGAGGTTCTGTAATGGTCTGGGGTACTCTGTTGGTCCCATGATTAACCTTCATGGCCGGATTACTGCAAGGGGGTATGTGGACAGGTTGGGTAATCAGGTGCATCCCTTGATCCAGATGTTATTTCCAAACAACAATTTAGTTTTCCATGATAATGCACCAATTCACACAGCTGGAACTATTCAGAGTTTGAAGAGCATGAAGGTTAACTTCAACATCTTCCCTGGCCAGCATGATCATCAGATATGGTTATTGTTGAAGTACTTTGGTCAGTTTTGGAGACTAGAGTGAGGAACAGGTTCTCACCTCCAACATATATAAAGCAACTGGTAGGTGTTCTTCAAGAAGAATGGTATATAGTTCCAATAGAGAATGTTCAAAACTTGTACAAGTTCATTCCAAGAAGGACTGCAAATATACTAAAGGTAAGAGGTGGTCCAATACCATGTTACTATAGAAAAGTGTACAGTATCTGTAGCATTTCCAATATACAATGAGAGATCTCTCACCACAAATGGAGTGTAAGGGTAAGGTTATTAAAGCAAACACAGGACTATCTTTAAGCACAGAACATTAATACCTGAGCTTGCAGATATTCTTCTTCTAAATATGAAAGTACTGTCAGGTCACAGTAAACAAAACAGACAAAATAACCTAACATTAAGCAAAACGTCAACAATTTTTACAATTAAAAGACTGTCAAATTCAATCAAAAATATCATTCTTTGTTATAATTTTCACACATGTAACACAAAAACAATGTGCCAATGGTGCAGCGACATCTCAAATCCCCAAATATCTTCATGGCACAGTATTTAATTAAGCAAAGAAAAACTTTACTTTTACTAATTACACAGGCTTGGTTTTAGTAATTACTGGTTACATTCCTTGACTCACTACAGAAAAAATGAGTTCAGATAAAGGAACATAATAAACAGAACAAACTGAATCCACTGATTTGCATGTCCATTGATACTGCATTAGGCAGAATATTTATTTTCATAAATATTAAAGTCAGGCACATCCAACAGAAAATCCAAACTTCCAAGAAAGAGGAATTCACAAAGTAACCAATGTTTTTTTTTCTTTTTTACAACAAGTAATTAAAATCTGTGCAGTAAACTCACTAGGATAATGTAAGACAGATTTTGTTCATCTGGTGATTCAGTAGCTATCCAATTCAATAGGTATGTGCAAGTCTCAAATTTTTTACATCTCAACCCCAATGTGACTGTTAATTTTCCATTTTTGAACTCTGAAAATTTTCTGATAAATGCTTCTGTTTTGCATGAAGGGTTCATGTTAAAAAGGGATTGGTATGGCATTTGCCTGAATGCAAGATGTGATTTTCTTCCTCAATTTAAGGGTTGAAAAACTATACATTGTCATAAATTTGAATTCTATGTATGTCAGATGTTCATAGCACAATTCACACTATTGTTCTGTGACAGTAAAAGGGAGGAAAAATGATACAGTAATATTTTTAAGGCCAGAAGACATGAGGTGCAATGCTGTCTGAAGTACCATCATAGTTATGAAACAGAGACAACAATTCACAAATTTACAATAGCATGAGAATTTGTACCAGCACAAGGATCGCTCAACATAAAAATGGCAGATCATGTCAAGAAAAAACCACTAATGTGGAACAGAGCAAAGTGTCAAAAAGTATAAGGCACCAGGAGTTCTGACTTTAACTTTAATAATATGGTGATTAGATACCCATGAAGCAGCCAGAAAACACAGTGTTTCTTGGACGTTTATCTAAGGGTGGAAACAATGAAAACCAGAACTAAACATGAAAGCTGTTTGTGCAGATTCAAAGGCAGAATGAAATGTCAGTTTCATGATACATCATTTCCCATTGAGAGAAAATAAAATTTTAAGTCAAGCTGAGTGTATGTGTGCAAGTGATGTGGAGGAACAGATTTTCTTCACAGCCTCCTCACTTCGTAACACATTACCATCACATTTCTAAGCAATGCTGAAGAAATGTCAATATATTTTGATATGCAGTCAAATTATACCACTGATGATGTAGGTGCAAAAGGTTATCAACACTGAGCTACATCCAAATACTATGACCAGGGAGAATGGCTTCTGCCTCAGTCAGTTAGGGAAACCTTTCTCTGCTCTCTGAAATATTGCAGGAAGCCTCCCTTACAGGATTCTATAGGTCAGATCACCACAGGGCCACACAGATCTGTACACACTACCCATCAGCCTTTATTTCATGTCCCAGCCGTCCTCTGCTCCTTTTGCTTTTCTCATCCACCACTGTATGGCTATGACCCATGCACACAACTTCTTTCCCATTCTCTCTGGTACTCTGTCTGTCCACAACACCATTATTCTTGTCACCCCATGTTCCTGGTAGTAGTGGCCTTTTCTAGGGCCAATGCTAGTTATCCTTGTCTTGTCTCCTATTGGTCCACTCTCTTCTGCAAACTGGCCAATGAGAACTGATGAACTGTCCTGCAGTTCTCTCCTGTTTTCCTATATAAGCAGGAAGTTTTGGCAAGCAGATCTGTTTGCTAGCTTCTTCCTTGGCTTATTCTTCAAGCATGAAGCTGGAGGTGACATATTACACTGAAACATCAGTTGACTTTTAACAGACTGCAGGGCATTATATCCCAAGAGAGAACTGTTGATAACCATCATTATAAGAAACTCAAATCCTATGCAAAATCTGTTGTCCTGTAAAGATGTCAGTGACTGTAATGCTGACAAAATAAAACTACTACTTCTGAATGTTCTCGGTAGGGGACCATGTTCTGACACCACCAGGACCAGACCCAGTGTCGAACCACTGTGTGTATGGCTCAAGACCACATCAACAAACCTCTCCATAAGTGAGAGATAAAGGATACTGAAAAGTAATGTATATCCTATGGAATGGACACAAGGAAGGATGAACAAGATGGGAATATTGGCAGTGAGCAAGGGAGAGTGAGCAGTGAATGTGAGACAGAAGATGGGAACTGTGAAGACACTGAGGCTGAGATTGATGATAGGATTGGTGAACACAGTGAGACTGGTGAAACTGAATAACGGCTAATAACTTCAGGAAGGAAAGTAATTTGATAAAAACGTCATATACAACATGTGTTCTAATACTTATTTTCTTTCACATGTAAGTAGAAATTAATTAAAAAAATTGCTTTCATCTCTGGAGACAAGTTTCCTAGTGTAAGTTATTTTATATTCAGATCATCTTCCACTCACATAAATATGGCAGCACACTGAAAGAGTAGCCAGTGTTATAAACTACAGTTACAGTTAAAATATGGACCGTTAGAGAAATCCTCACCTCAAATTGAAAAATTTATTCTCATGTCTACAATTTACAGCTAGTTCAGCTTGTCTGGAGATTTTCCATCCATGTCAATCACCAAACTGGATTTAAATTTCTACAGTATTATGGAAAATTACATAAGAGTCAATGTAAAATATTCTGAGATAAACATTTTCCATGCACAGCATCAAATTTCTGAACTTCCATTATGTAAGCATCTTAAAGGAAAATGTTTATTACAGTTTCTAATTAAATAAATAACTGCAAGCACTTTTCACACACAAGTAGCTATCATACAAATTTTCATTGAAAATGTGTGCATTTAAATAGAAGAGATTAACTATCTGTAATCAAAATTAAACATTAATTTACCTTCTTCCCAGGAAGCTGGTTCTTCCAAGGGTTTGTCATTAGCATCTTCTTGGTGCTGAACTGGTGGTAACTGCAGAGTTGGTGATTGATGTGTATTAAGAGGTTCAGAATTTGCTTTAGGTTGCTTGACAGTGCTATGGGATTCTTCTTGCTGCAATTCTGGAGAAAATGACAATCTGTGCTTCAGTACACACTGATCAGCATTTGCTGACACAGACCCAGCATTCTTGTTCTCAGAAAGGTTCACTGAATGTCTATGACTAGGGTGAGAACTTGAGGTCTTTGCCGAGATATGGTACATCTCAAGATTTTTGGAAATAAAATCTTCAATGCTGCTGCCTTTCTGTGAAGACAGACTTGCTGGCTGCAGAAAGTCATGACTCCGATATTTTCTTTTATTGCCATCACTAGGTACATATTGTGTATTCCCAAAATTATTATTAGTGTTCTCTTCAGTTGAACTAAAAAGACCAAGCAAATCATCTGTTGCAAATGAGGTTCCCTGGAGTAACTTACTGTTTAACTCATCTGATAAGAAATGAGGATTCAGGTAGTTCTGTGGACAAAGACCAACCTTCCCAGACTGATTTCTTACTTCACACCAATCTTCATTTGCTTTGCTTACAATCCACACAACTTCATCCTTGTGCACCGTCAAATCACCATCCATCTGTGCATCAAAATTATATAACACCTTTGCAAATGAATTTGGTGTCAATTCAGTCTCAGCATCTGAATTGTAACAATGAAACTGCTGTAATTCATTCAAAGAATTGTAACTGTTGTCTTCCGCAGTATTTGCATAACCCTCACAGTCTACCAGAATATTTACATAACTTTTTGGAAAAATACCTTTTTTTCCATCAATCTTCCCTTCAATCCAGTCTCTGTCAACATGGCGACATAGTGTGACAATTTCTCCTTCATGGAAACCTAGTTCATTATCAAACTGGGCAAAAAAAGGATACAGTGTGATACCATATGGAACAACATCTAATTCCACTGAAGGTTGAGCATTATATGTTTCAGTTTTGTTTGTTTTACTTTCAGAGCTATTGTTATATACAGATGGCATGTTTACTTTAAAGTAATCATCAGCAAAGATATCGGACTCATTTATAATCTGTGCATCACTTGTTTGAGCCAATGGTGAGAACTTTGCTTCAGGTGAAAGAGCTAACAAGTCAACGTCATCATTGTTTTTCAATGTTGAAACACTATGAGATGACTCTGAAAGTTTCACTGGTAACTCAAAATGACTACTGTGAGGCATTCCACCGCTTTCTGTTGCATCATTATCTTCAATAATGTCTACATAGGCTGATGGAAATACTCCTACTTGTGATCCACAAATGCCCCTGAAATAAGTACGTTAAAGTCATGCCTTTTCAATAACATCAAGATACAAAAAGATCTACATACATCCAACTTTATAAGCTTCACAAAATACCTCAGTTAAACATACAAATTCATGGTAACTTACATATTTACATAAACTATAAGATCCAACAGTCTATTTGTGTGTCACACATTTTTAAGTCACTTCTGAATGAACCGAGATGTAGCATTTTTACATACTTTGTACATATAGAGAATTACAGGTATCATCTGGCTTACGTGATTTCGTCTTCCATTAATTTTATGCTAAAAAAACAGATTCATATGACTTATTTATTAATTCTCTTACTGAGGACAAAAATAATGTTTATCCTAAACAAAAGGTGACCTCACAACTGGCTAAAATGAATGGTACTGAAGTAAATTATGTATTTTTTTTATGAAAACTGAAGGCAGTGTGATGAAAGCAGTAACATAAATTCCAAGTTAAAGAGGAACATTCCTCGGAAGACAAATTTCACATAAGCTGGAGATACCTGTAATGTATTATAGCATATGAATGCTATGAATTCTGCAGAAATGATCAAACTGCTGGTGTACAGTGCAAAACCAAAATTATGTCACCCCTAAATACTCAAAGTGCAACATACCTATACCAGTTCTTATCCACAATTTCAGTCACGATTACAATGTCTCCTTCATGTAAATCCATTTCTTCATCCAGCTGTGCTTTCATATTCATTTTTACACGTGCTTTCATGTTCATGAACTGGTGTTTTAATTTTTCCTGCGAGAAATAAAAGACTGTAAAAATAAATTTCTAAATTTGTGGCAATAATAAAACAGTTATTTCTCATATTACTGTTTGTGGAATAAGACACTGTACAGCTTGACAGATATGTATCAACTTTCCAAAGAACATTTTGACTCCATGTGCAGGGTAGAAGATGGACACAGCTGTAATGTGATAACTCACAACCATTAGAACCTCAAATTTCATATAGAATAACCAATGGTCCAACTGACCCTTTGTATGTCACAGGCTAATTAGAATACGTCAGTGTACTTGCATCAGAACTGCCACAGTCAAGGAGAGCGAATCAGTGTCAATCATGCTGAAGAACATTCTGCAAACAGGTGCATCAAATGTTGCATACTAATGCTTAGTGGAAGGGAGAGAATTCCATGGCATCTGCAACTGTGGTCATTTGGAAATACTCTGTAGTTGTTCTGTGGGTATTCTTGAGCAATGACATTTACACTCATGCAGCCTTGGCATTTTAGAAGGTAGTTCTGTAAAGCAGCTTGGCAATCAAGGGATTAAGTAATTAAATAACCAAATAAAAGAAGAGTCACAAGAAAGTATCTCTGCTTCAATCAATCACCTTTATATCTGTATTACAAGTTTCTGCTGCAGGGATATTGTTAGATGTTTCTTAACGAGCTCTTCCCCAGCTCACCTGGTCTGCTGCACTGAGCACAGTCTGCTACCAAATGTACATGGTCATTCCCAATGGAACCTGTAATGTTGACACTGAGCTGGACAGGCTTTCTCATGATTCTCCCATTCCCTCTACCATTAACCTTTCATGCCTTGATTAGATGAGTACAAGATCTCTCAGCTTACCTTCAGCAGTTTGGAATCTAACTGCCATGTATAAGTAGTTGGAAATATTCCAGTTCTCTCATCAATTCTTCCATACCACCAATTCTCATTTACTTGAGATATACCAACAATCAGCTCACCTGAAATTAAGCATTTTTAAGGTTCATATTTGAGCAGATTTTGGTCATTAGAGATAAAAAGAGTATCAACTATACAAGGATTCCAGCTGTATTGTCTCAAAAAAGAACAAAAGATATTTCTAAAGTACAAGCACACATTCAATTTGCATTTTGTTTCAACAAAACAACTCTCCACTTCTTCGTCTATTTAAAGAAAAGCGTATATGTGTAAATACGATTAAGCCTGTGGGTTTGAATCTTGCTTGGGACATGGGCATGTGTTACAATGTTACAATCCTTCTGCATATGGATGGTAGTTATCAACATATTTACTAAATAAGCAATCATGGACATGCAATGGTTCTCAGCCTAAGCATTGGGAGGGTGGGTAATGCTAACCCCAAAAGAACTAACATATTGCAAGTGCTACACAAGGCCTTGACTTAGATTGCTTAAATATGGTGACTACTAATTACTGAAGAGCTATGGACTAACGTTATATGTGGATTTTTTTTTTGTTATTCAGATAAAAAAAACACTATGGAAAAGATCACCTTTTGTAAATGCAAGATCATCATCTTGCTGACGTGGGAAGTCAGAAACTGCTGCAAATAATTCATGGTTGTCTTCAAGAGATGGTATTTCAACTGGTACAAGATAGCTGCCAGGGAATTTGCCATATTTTCCACCACAGCAACCATACCACCAATGCCTGTCTACTTTCTCCAATACCTAAAAACACAATAAGACATTAAAAATGAAAGATTTGTGGCTTTCTGGGCGAGTAAATGTAAGGAAGACTTTTTGGAAAATCAGCCTTATCAAAAGTATAACAGATGTACAGCGTTTCAGAAACTGTCATCACTCAAATGACATGGGACTGATGCCTTACTTCACAAAGCATATAACTTCTTGAGAAATTCCTCACCTTAATGGAATCTAAAAGTTCAAAAGAGCTTGCCATTGGTCCCTATCCTAGTCCAGATAAGTCTGGTCCATATTCTCAAATCATGTGTTCTTAAGATCCATTTTAGCATTATTTACCCAACTATGCCTCGGTTTCCGACATGGGCTGTTCCCTTCAGAATATACATTATGAGGTTTCTCGTTCTGTGGTGTTCTACAGTCTTTTCGCATAATTCCTTCTTATAGTGACATCCCTTTCTCAGCACTCTGTTCTCCAATACTTGCATTCTATGTGAATGCCTTAACGTGAGATAAAAAATTTTACATTCCTTCTAAACAACAGGCAAAATTATAGTTTCGTACAATGTAATTTTTATATTTTTGGTTGGGGAATGGTATGACAAAAGGTTCTGAGCTAACCTGAACAATATCTCCTTTCTTAAGTGAGATCTCACCCTCAGAGACGGTAAGAAAATCATTCAGCACTTTAGTAACTGTGCCTTTTTCCATGACATTCAGTGGAATCACACCACATATAACTTGTTTTCTTCATATACATTCACAAATACTAAGGGCGCACTCATATCGCTTAACTTCTTCGCATTTCCATTAAAGACAAGCTTTCCTGCACTTTCCTGTATCAAACACTTGTCACCGATTCCATACATTTCCACGTAACACATACGACACAAACCAGTATTCATTGATGTTCATTGATTCCTATTCGTAACGCCCAAAACAATACACGTTAGTAGCGCCATCTTTTATCGCGCCTTGCAGTTGGCCCAAGAGAGCAAGACCGGCAAGTGGCGTAATCTGCAGTAACGCCCGAACAATACACGTTAGTACCGCCATCTGTTATCGCGCCTTGCAGTCGGCCCTCCTGTACCGGCAAGTGGCGTGCTCTGAAGCTTTAAGTAAAATTCCCATGAACGTCATCTTGCAGCTATATTTCAGTTTTATGTACGTGTATATTGTGGAATGTGGACCTATTGCTGGACAACGATAGCGAAATAAGAAACTATACAACAGTCTTTGCCAAGTGACGGTTCCGCAATCAAGCATGTTTTTTACGGCAACAATTGCACTGTAACAGGACAACGGTGTTTTCTACGCTGTCCGTGCCGATATGCTATAAGCGGGGACAGTTAGCATTAGTTAGTCAAACCCGTGTGGAGGCGGCGTCGAATATTTCCACCGTGAACCCTGCGAGTCGTAGGAGGCAACGAAATGGGAAGTCTCAAATCTGAGACAGTCCCAAGGGACTAGGACCTAAGAAATAGTGAATTGGCAATGGCCAGTAGCATACACGGTGTATCCAGGATCCGTTAGGCCTTTTTTTTTTTTTAATTTGCCCTGCAATTCCATTTGTTGGCGAGTTGTGGCGTTAAGATTCTTGTAGTTTCACCTGTGGCTGTCTATAACTTCAAAGCTCAAGCATCGCTGCATCATTATGTTCTGACCTTCAATGTGAGAATACTGTTCTGACGCTCGTCGGAAAATGGCGGTTGAACAGAGAGCCAACATCAAATTTTGTTTGAAATTAGGCAAAAGAGCCGGAGAAGCGTACGGAATGATGAAAATTGTGTACGGTAGTGATTGTTTGAGTCGCTCGAACATTTTTCGATGGTATGCTGTATTTCGTGACGGCAGGGAGGACATTGAAGACGCTCTACATGCATCAAAGCCGAGAACAAGTAGCACTGAAGAAAATGAGAAAAAAGTGACCGAAATCCTTGCATCAGACAGATGTGTTTCTGCAAGACTCATCGAGAAGTTTTTGGGAATACGAAAAAGTACTGTGCATCAAATTTTGACCGAGGATTTGGGCAAACGGAAGGTCTGTGTGCTGTTTGTACCGCACGCGCTGTCAGGCCATGAAAAAAATGCCAGACTGGAACACTGCAAAGACATGTTACGGTTGGCCCAAAGTGATAAAACATTTACAAAAGCGATTGCCACTGGTGACGAGACATGGTGTTTTCAATGTGAGCCTCTCACAGAGCGGCAGAGTGCAGCGTGGTTGAGCCAAAAGAAGCCAAAACCATAGAAAGTGCGCATGCAAAAGAGTCGAGTAAAGACACCGCTAATCGTTTTATAATTTACAAGGAATTTCTGCCAGAAGGTCAAAGAGTGAATTCAGATTATCATCTCGGAGTTCTCAATCGTTTATGGGCGAGAATTCTTCCAATTCGACCTGAATATCGAGAGCAAGGTTCCTGGTCGCTCCTCCACGACAATGCCCCCCCCCCCCGTTCCTGGTCGCTCCCCCACGACAATGCCCCCCCCCCCCAAATCGAAGATCGTGCGCGATTTTTTTGGCCAGAAAATGGATCACAGTCCTTGACCATCCTCCGTATTCGCCAGATTTGGCTCCAGCAGACTTCTGGTTGTTCCCAAAAGTTAAGTTGGCGATGAAAGGAGACCGTCACGACACCATCCAGGACATCCAAAGGGAATGTACCGTAGTTTTAAATGTTATTCCACAAAAGGAGTACGGTGACTGTTTTCGAAAACTATTCAATCGACTATGTATTTATTCAGAAGGAGACTATTTTGAATAAAAGGGGTGAAATTGTGAAAATAATTCACGCCTTGTATTTTTAATGAACACAGTCCTAACAGTCGCAATGTGACTTTGACTTTCACTTTGATTAGTTAGTCAGTCGGTTGGTGAGTTAGTGAGTTAGTTAGATGGCTACTGCAGCTCAGTCGTTGTAGCCTTTGCTGTTAATGCTGATAGCTGAGACCGGGGACAGTTCAAGAAGAAAGAGGAAGGAGAACATCCGCCGCTGGAAGTCGCTACCAAGCAACGGCTAGCGAAGACTATAACAGATTGAGAAGACCTAGTGTCCTATAGTGATTCGTGAAGTGTACAGAACAGTGAAAGCATAAATCTTACTTGTAGTTACGAGTTGTAAGAATAGAATAAATCCAATTATGAATCGAACCCCCGTATATGGTCACTAAAAGTGTGACAGTAGGTACATGTGTGTGTTGTAACATGATGACGGCATAGTTTAGTTACAGAAGTCATCCGCAGCTACGCAACTGCACAGCACGTTGCTGCTCGTTCCTGCGGCAACAACGCAAGAACTGAGGGAAACGGTTCCTTTATCGGGTCCGCCCCGAGGCCATACAAGGAGAACGAACTAGACGGATGATTCGGTCGAGAGTGTGAGGAGGAGCCATGGGTTAGGTGCGAGATAGATGCCAGTCGATCACGACAATGTTGCGAGCCGTTGCTAAGCAACGCAGAACTACGAGAGCCAGTATTTTTACGGTCTATTCCACGACGCTCTTAGTAACCCACTGTATATATCATCGCATCGTGGAATGACTGATGAATAAATAATTGGAGACGATTTGGAAGGAAGTGGTCATGGCCTAATTGAGGTAGTATCGCGACATTTGGCTCTAGGAATTGAGGAAAACAATGAAAAATCCGGCCGAGATTCCAAATGAGTACTCGTTGAATATAACCTGATTTAAGAGTGTTACTACTGAACGAAAATGCACTTTAATTATTATTATTATTATTATTATTATTATTATTATTATTATTATTGTTGTTGTTGTTGTTGTTGTTGTTGTTGTTGTTGTCCTGCTCGGTGCGCCTATGCTGCCAACGCGATGGGTAAAGATCTCGACATATTTGCAATCGGAACAGTTTCTGTCAATGACACTGAACCTAAAATTCTTAATGATACTCTTAATATTACTAGTGTGTGTATGTGGTCTTATCTTATTGCTCTCTCCTGTTAATGTTATCTTTATTTTTTCTTGGCATTATTATTAATGTATTGTTATTATGTAGACTCTCAAATTTTGTATTTGTTTTTAATTATTTTTATGTAATTCTATGTACTCATGCTAACCTTTTAATTGGCCTCTGTGCTGTTAAGTTGTACGTAAATAAGCATGAATTGAATTGAATTGAATTAGGATGTTTAGCTGCCACACGAATAAATAAGAATTAATTGGGTTATTATTATTATTATTATTATTATTATTATTATTATTATTATTAACTTCTATGTGTGTATGTATGTGTATTGTCCTTTCTCACCACATAATGGAATAACCGTTCGAAATGTACTTATTTCATTTTCTCACCTGTTAATGCTAACTTTTTTTTAATTTTTCTTCCAATTATTATTAATTTCATGCCATTATCTAGACTGTCTTATTTGTATTTTGTCTTTTAGTTATATCTGTATTTCTATGTGCTCGTGCCAACTTTGTAATTGGCCTCTGTGCTGTTAAGTTTGCACGTAAATAAACACGAATTGATTTGAATTATTATTATTATTAATGGCCAGGAGCAAGGTGCACAGCTGCTCTCATTTAAATTAAGCCTAACCAATAAATTGCGTTTAAATGTTGAACAGCTTTGTAGATAAAGAGGTATCAGAGACGTAATGAGGTAATTACAAATTCCAGCCGAGAGTAACTCCATGCTGTAGGGTCTTTCTGCAAACGATAACTACTGATTTGATTGTGGAACTCGGAAATTTGCTATCATGTTCACAAAAGTGCGCCACTGGGGCCCATTCCGAGGCAGTTCAAAAATGGATTTTCGTCCATTCAAGCTCGCGTCCTCTGAGGTCCGCTTTAGCTTCCCAACTGTGCAGTGGTCTCCCAAAAGTGCATGGGTTCGAAATGCTTGCTTACTTCTCATCTCCACTTGCATTCTCTCCCGTCTTAACTTTCCTGCTCTACGTATTACTGACTTACTTACTTACTCACGAAGCTGAACCCTTATTGAGGAGCCGCCAATTCTGCAGCTACTCAAGGATTTCCCAGCATTTTATGGAACCGAAATGTTCACTGTGTTCACAAGAGCCCTCCACTAGTCACTATCCTGAGCCAGATCTATCCAATCCATACCATCCCATTCTATCTCTCTAAGATCCATTTTAATATTGTCCACCCACCTACGCCTTGGTCTTCCCACTGGTCTATTTCCTTCTGGCTTTCCCACCAATATCCTGTATGCATTCCCATTCTCCCTCATTCGTGCTACATGCCCTGCCCACCTCATCCTCCTAGACTTTATCATTCTGATTATACTTGGAGAAGAGTACAAGTTATGAAGCTCCTCATTATGCCGTTTTCTCCAATCTTCTGTCACTTCATCTCTCTTCCGTTCAAATATTCTCCTCAGCACCCTGTTCTCAAATATGTTAGGTGGGTCCCTTGTCATCACGGCATGGTGCGTCCTCAGATTGCCCATGTATGGAAGGAAGCTGCGAATATATATTGAGTAAGCAGTAGCGGACAGCCGACAAGAGGTGGTCCTCCAGCTTGGGGGTTGGGCGTGGGTCTAACAACTCCTCACCGTAAAATCCTCCAGTTATATTAACTGTGGTTATATGAATAGAACAATATTCTTGTTACGTTATTTAACTGTTTCTCTCAGAGATGCAAATATTCTCCGCAAAATTTTATGCTCAAAAAGCATAAATCAGCGTTTATCCATCAGTGCTAGAGTATACTGGTAGACCACAATGGGGACACTGACATAAGGAAACAGGGCGACCAACTGATAGCAGCCACAAAATGAAATGTAACGACTGGCATGAAGGGCACGAGAGAGGCACGGGAGACAAATGCAGTGCAGTGGTCTCACTCGAGGATAGGATTCACCTGAGGATGGCCCAATGAGGCCGAAACATGTTGTGAATATATAACCAAGACAATCTGAGGAGTGTGAAATTCACTTTTATTGTGTAAATTTATGTACTACGTAAAGGCCTACGCGCATTTTATTGGTTTGAACTGTCATAGTATTAAAATGCATTTTTAGTGAACAACGTATTCCTACTGTCTCTTTAAAGTTGTACTATTGACGTATACGTCAGTAAGAAATAGGATGACGCCTCAATACAACGGGATGCTGAAATATAAAATATAATAAAATCACTGTTTGAGGTTAAGTTTCACAGCTCCTGCACTTGTTAAGGTTGCTGTGTAATCCGAGAACCAGACGTTCCTCAGATGTGTGTTTTAATGATTTTCGACAAGCTGAAGACGTGGAACAAAGGGGGAGCCGTGTGCGGGGGCCTGAGCCAATTATCCCATTATTGCATTAGCCCCAGGTATGTACTCGCATATACACACCTCAGTGGCTCGGTAACCACACCGTGTAGGATTACAAGAACTGTGCAATGTTTGCGAAGTGGTTCCTGGTACCTCTGTACTGAACCGAAACTCTGAAGGAAAGGTATGCTAATTTGAACGAGATCGAGAGGGAAGGTAAGGACTGAATTCATTTGGTTTACGATAGCAGTCATTGGTGTGCTCTTGGACACCTTCGAGCTCATGAAAGGCGAAATATTTCTCGATTCTTTACAAAGCATTTCTCCATGGGGTTACTTAGTTTGTTTCGTGGGTACACGGAGTGGAGTTTTGCGTTTCTTTTCGGTCTCCGCAGGAAAAAATCAGGGAGAGCTTTCAGTGTTGCTCACGACAGATTTATTTTACATTTTCTATCATCGAAACCAGAATGCAGCATAAAGACTCTTTATTTGTTTGTGTATTTTTTGGGTTGTGGTTTCTTTAACGACGCTATCTCAACTATATAATGTCGAAGAGTGGCATGTGAAAGGAAACGATTGTGGCCTACATGGAGCAAGTGAGAGGGACCACAAAACATCTCATTCGGTATGCTCGGTGTCCTCGCCCACTTTCCGAGTTCAGGCCGGATTGTACAGGTGATTGTGCGAGTATTTAACAGAATATTTCATCTCATGATACTTGCATATGGAACTTAAATCGTGTTCAACCAATCTTAACTTTAAAACAATTTGTTTCTCTTCACTCAATTCACTCACAAGCGTTAACACCCTGTTGACGGCACCATACGTAGTCTTATGACATTATTCACGTGTGACAATACCTATAGAACATTCCATTTAAAAAAAAAATTACTTTCGACTTGGAGAATACCAAGCTCGATACACCTGAACAATCCACTGTTGCTGAACATACACTGACTTAGATTTCGAGACAACATTCATGTGAATGCTTCATCCATACATAAAGCTGCTGAGAAAGCAGCTCAACACAAGAGGCACGAAATAAGAGACCAACATACATGTTCATACATCTTTGTTTTAGCAAGCTAATAACCGAGTGTTGATAACATGTCATTCCGAGCAGTAAGTATAGGCCTGAAAATGATTTTAATGACAAAAGATAAATCTCTCGTCTTCTATAACGATTAAAGAACTACTAATACTGGATGCAGGTGAGCTAATTGTTGAGGTATCGATTTTTTTGGTAAAATTCAAAGTGCCCACAAGTTCGCTATTAATTGAATATCAAAGAGGTAATTTTAACTTCAAGTTACTCTAGACTAGAGCATTATTTTCTATGATTTTCAAAATTTTCGGAGATTCTTCACCGTAGATATGATATGTTAAAAATGGCCGCTTTTGGGCCCAGAGCAAAGTTTGGAAGCTCCTGAAAATTTTTGGAAAACAGATACGGGCTTCAAGCTATGTCACTATATTCCCCATGTAGGAAACAACAAAAGACGGAAACCACAGATCTGATACTTTCCCCCTCCCATTGGTTTCTGAAGGTGAAAAATAGCGTTTTTCCCAAAATCGATAGGTACGTTTCAAGCTTAATTAGACCTAGAGGAAGTGAGTTGAGTGAATACTTGTGAGAATACGATTTGTAGTCCATAACATGAGGAATAATTTGGTTATTCATTGGAGTCTCTAGCTTCAATACTTATTGAAATATGGAAGGATAATGCAAACCTCCATTTCAGCCGAAAACGCGATTTTTCGCATTATATAAACAGCTGTACCAGGAGAACCGAGCAGATTACAGTTTTTAAACATTTCTTTGAAGTGTCAAAATATACAGAAATAAGGGTACAAAATGTGAATTTTTGTTTTAAAAATGGTGAGCGACCTCTCTGGATGACTTCACATGGAATGACACAAAGTATAAAGGAATATGTAAAATTTGAGGTTTTCGCGGCGGTGACTATGAAGAATGCCGTCTTCTGGGATGTGGCGCAATGTAGATATTGTGTTAACCGACGTTTCGGAAAAATGTATCGCCTCAATCTTCAGGAAGAAGAAATTAGAAAATCCGCGAGCGAGGAACCAACGTGAGCAGGTACTGACAGACTACCCTGGCATCTACCCTAAAGATTGAGGCGATACGTTCCTTCGAAACGTCGGTTAACACGGCGCCACATCCCACAAGACGGCGTTGTTCATAAAGGAATGTGTTTGGAGGGGTGGGGAAGGTTAGCAGCCTTGATATTTCAGCTGGTATCACTTGAATTACATGAGAAACGCTCTAAACGACGTAAGTCTAAACAGCTGGATTTCCTGTCGATATTTACGTTATACATTACATTATATTATATTGCATTACATTTCCTAGATCCGAAGTTAGTCAGAATGTCTGTGGGACGTGCAGTATGTGATACACGTAAATACAACCAAATATGTATAGTGCAACTGATGTGGACCGCGCCATAGCTCAAGCGGTTAGTCGTTGGCTTCCCACCGGGTCTGGTCAAGTGGAATTTGTGGTTGAAAAAGTGGCCCTGGGACAGGTTTTCTCCGAGTACTTCGGTTTCCGCTGCCAATCTTCATTCCTCAAATTCTCCATTATCATAATCATCCGGGGCAGGTACAATAGGCCAATCAGTGGCCGACTTGCCGACTGGACCCAGCTAGACTCCACAGTCGACCCCCCATTTGCCAATTAAAAAAAGAAAGAAAGCACAGCAGCTATTCATGAGGCTATTCAAAAATACATTCCCATATATACATATACTGTCAAATTACGCTATTTACATAACATTTAAAGGATGAGTCATGTTTTAGACAATAAGCATTCATCAACAGAGCAGAATGAGCGTGTTTAAGTATCGTTTTGGTGCTATTTTAAGTCGTGCCTTTTCATTCATAAGACATGAGGTCAGATGGCAGAATACTGAAAATGTCGATCCCATTATAATACGTGGTATACGCTCTTCTGGAAACATGAGAGGTTAGCAGTTGGTTTATGGAGAAAGTATACGCTCTTCTGGAAACATGAGAGGTTAGCAGTTGGTTTATGGAGAAAGTGCTTATGTCTTGTGTGCACATATTAAATGGTCCGAAAATGTTCTTCATTATTTGTAATTAAGTTTATTAATGAAAATATGTAGTCACATGGAAGGGTTAAGATATTTAGTCTTTTAAATATATCTCTACAAGGATTACGGGATTTGATATCGACCACAATTCTGACTGTTTTCTTTTGCAATGTATATACCTTCTTGCTGTCAGATGAATTACCCCAGAAAATTATTCCATACTTCATTAAAGAATGAAATCAAGCAAAATAAATTTATTTGAGAGTGTCAGGGTTGCTGATATGCAAAATTGGTCTAACTGCACAACATGCTCCACTTAACTTTGGAACCAACTGACTGATATGGTTTTTCAAGTTTATGTGATCATCAACTTACAAGCCAAGGAATTTGTTTACTGCATCGTCTATATATTTTCACGTGTAGGGTTGTACGCATGACGAAAACAGCGGGTTCTAGATCCGGTGATTGGATTTCTTAACACTTCGGTTACACCCTCTCTGTTAATTTACGGCGCTGTCGCTGTAATTACACAATTCACAGTTCGCCGTTGCACACGCACTAAGATTCTCCGTCTTCAGTAGTCGTCTCCTGACAACATAGATACTAGCGCTTCAGATATCACTGCGCTACAGCACACACAATAAAGTCTTCAAAGTCCATTAACACTTTACAACTGAATCCTCACAACTCCTTTCCAAGATGGCTTCGTGTCCTTGACTCACAGGTTCTCGGCTATGACTAGCTACGACTCGTACCTGCCTTGAACTGCACTTGCATCTGAATTCACTTCTCTTGTAAGCTACTCTGCACAGGCCCCACGGAAAACACCTATTTTTGTAGACGTGTATAGAGTTCCATTGCTTACAAAGGAGGTTGCATAACCCCGTTGTTCCAGTGTTGCGTGCATCCATCGTGGGGTTCTTATCGAGTCGTTGCCTGACAGTGCGTTGACATGTCACAGCATTTTTCATTATATCTAAAGTTTAATGGACTTTGTGGCTTCTTCCAGAACATCTTGTTACATTCATTTTGACTAAAATGAAAACCCTATGGAAACAATTCCGGTCCAATTTATTGTTCACTAATCATTTACCACTCCGTGGAATAATATCTGGGCTACTGAAGCGTATTGAAATACATCATAAATACATTTCTAAATAAATAAGCGTAGGAGTAATATTGTAACAATATTGGCCCAACAGGAAGTAAGGGTCACGTGAACTCTGCGTTTCCACTCCTCCCATCATTACGCAACGCTCGGTAAACACCCCTCCCCGCTAGGCTGTGACGTCACGNGAGTCCGTGCAGCGACTATTGCTAGGCAATGCGTAGGTATAAACACCTGACAACAATCTGATATCTGCTGCAGAGCAGCAATGTGTTCTGTATGTTGTCCGTGCCGAGCCTAAATAAGTAACTGGTTCCGTTGTGGAATGTAAAGGATGTGGAAGGTAGTCTTAGTGGCCTAATGTGAGGCATTATCCCAGCATTTTCCAGGAGAAACTGAGAGAAACGAAGAAGTTATCGACTCAGTATTCCCGATATCCTGGTCTAGATCTGAACCCGGGACCCCTAGATTAAGAAGCAGGAGTGTCACACATTCCACCGAGCAATTTCGTTTAATAAGATGCGAAACATGAATGATTAATACAACATTCCATTTTCTGCAGGATACCAAGATATGACTAAGCGCACACTCCTCTTGAGCTTCAAGTTGACAGTGGCTGCATGGCTACTTGGGTGGACACAGTAAGTCCCAGCTTGCTTCATAAAAGCATGTCTCCCCTTCTTCATAACTCCCATTCCGTTGTTCGAAACTGGTCAGTTTTCCTACGGATAAAAGAATCCTCTCGCGGCCGGCATAAAACCGTGGACACAAAATGAGAATTTCTTCTTATAAATTATCTGACGAACTGCTAAACATTCTTGTGTTAACAAATAGTGTAACACAATGCAATGTACTTCTACGCCTACACTTGATTTGTGTCTGAAATCTGAAAGGATTCGACAGAAGGAAGAGGAAGATTGAATGTTATTAGCATATTGTAAATATTACGAATTTTAATGTACAAAGATAATTGCAAATAATTTTATTCTTGTGAGCTTCATTACTTTCCACAACAACTTACATGTGTGATAAAGTGTTTGACTGAGGTGTGACCAACAACTATCTACTTAAGTAGAGTTTTAAGTCGTAATTAATGAAAATTTATGGTTAAATTACGCCTTTTTATAAATATGTGTATGGTGCAGGAAAACATGCCTTTTAATTTACGCGACTATGCCTGGTGCTCAGAAGTGTTAAAATATTAGGCAATATATATACGGAATCCTAAAACATACATCTAAACGCCATCAGTTTTAGTTCTCGGCAAGTATGAAAAACTTAAACGCTTAAAATTTTAAGCATAAAAATTAATATGCGGTTACAGTAACATAGTACATAGATTCCTGAAAGGAAATATGCATTTCAAAAACTCTTTCTTAATCCAATAATGGCAATTAAGTTTCACGTATGACTGGAATTGTACGAACATTCCAATTTTTATGTTTACCTTAATTTTCGGTTATTTAGTTTATAGCGTTTGTTTTAAATAAGGGACCGAGAGTAATATACACAAATTATAATAATTCGTCCTTGCGTTTTACTTCGTATTGCCATAGGTGTTATAAGTCTCGAGACATATCGAGTTCAGAAACGTTATGTTTATATAACTTCATGACATATTGGTGCTAATTAAAATGTTCAGACATTATTCTTACACACAAATGGATCTAATTAAATGTACAATTATGTAATACAATAAAACGAATATTTATTCGCAAGGTACAGGTTGATTAGTGATTGATTTATTTGTTGAAATTCATGTAATATTTCTCGAGTTCCTTAAAAATATTATTGTTAAGCACTTTATTTCCCACGGCTAATCTTAACTTTTTTTCAGAGGGGCCAGATATATGAACCCAGGACCAACAATGCCACCCGAATCGAGTCTTTCTCTTCGTGACATTCTTCCCACAAACCCAAAACACTATGACAAGAACAGAGCCCCAAAATTCCAAGGAAAACCCACAATAGTGTATTTCCATGTTACTGTTCTGTCACTCGATTCCATCAATGAGGAGTCAATGGTAAGTGGCGGGGCGATTTCAATTCATCAGCCAAAAAAAGAAAACGACATTTTTTTACGGAAACTCTGAATATTGCAAGTGTTCTCTAAGAAATATATTTTGTTGTGTGTTAGTACTACTCATATATATATGAGTTTTAGTTTTTCCTGTCAAAAACAACAAAAACAACCACCAAAAATCTTATTCACGTTTCGCTGTGCATATCTGAGTGTTTGGTGTGACAGGTAAAACGAAAACTCATATTGTAGGTGTAAGATTTGAGGCTTTCACGGCGGTGACTATGAAGAAAGCCGTCTTCTGGGATTTGGCACCGTGTATAAGTGGTTATACACGGTGCCAAATCCCAGAAGACTGCTTTCTTCATATTGTAGGTCTTGACTACTTTAATTCCCAATTGAAATTCCGGTCTGTCACAGACATTTGTCGCTGACATCTTCCTGGCTCAGAGTTGGCGCGATGCCAGACTTCGACTACCGGAATACATGAGCGAGGAGTACAGAATTCTGGATGTGGAGTGGTTGCATAACATCTGGAGACCCGACTGTTTCTTCAAGAATGCAAAGAAAGTGACGTTCCATGAGATGAGCATCCCCAATCATTACCTGTGGCTGTATCATGATAAGACTCTCTTATATATGTCGAAGTAAGCAAATTCCATAACCAATAGCATTCAGCAAGAAAATTATTATCCTCCTTTTTACGCCTAAACAATTTTCTCCAACCCTTTCCAAATACTTTCCTGAGTACTATGATTTCCTTCAAAACTCCTCCAAAAATTTCTATGCACTCCTTATCTGCCCCTTCTACTATACAAGTATGTTAGATTATGCAATTTTAAGTATATCTCTTAGTTTTGTTTGTTTCATAGGTCGTTGCCATGCCCCATGTACAGCTTGGTCTGGGACACCATTCCTCCACGCCGTGGCTACTGGCGGCCTTAATGATTGCTGTTTTTGTCCGATTTCAGACTGACCTTGGTGCTCTCCTGTGCCATGAAGTTCGAGTCCTACCCACACGACACTCAGATCTGCACCATAACGATCGAAAGCTGTAAGTATATCTGCAGAACCCTCAAAACATTGTCATTTATGTGGAAAGTAGAAAGTACATATTTTCTAATCGATATTAAATATATTCGTTAAGCTTTTAGCTCAAGGATATGCATTTTGTTACAGTATCCCATACAGTGCACGATTTGGTCTTCATTTGGAATGTGACCGACCCTTTAGTTGTGAACCCGGACATTGAACTTCCCCAGCTGGACATCTCCAACAATTACACTGCTGATTGCACAATTGAATATTCCACAGGTTTGTCCTGCAGTAAAAAAAAAAATAATAATAATTTTGTGTAGAAAAATATTAGAATAGGTTACTTACTTCGCGCCAACTGTGACCTATTTTGAAGCTTCATGCAAATACCCTGACAGCCGACTTTCATAAGGGATACTTATATTTCCATGAAGGTGAAAATTTAGATTGTGGTCTTCCGTGTAGTCTGATAGGTGGTTACCGCTTCGGAGGAAAATGCTGCCTGCATGTTCACGGTCAAGGCTCCAGGGTGTTGCATTTCGCAGGTTCATGACCTCTTCCTACATCGTCAAGGTTGCAGCCTTCACCTTTTGGTGGCGGTATAGACAATACATGGTTTGCAGAACTGGGAGCTTGACGAGACTTATGATCTTACTTGAGAAATCTGACGTTTGAGAGGTCATGAACCAACACATAAAGAAGTAATCGAGGAATCGCATAAATATTTTTAAGAATTAATTCCCTTCGAATTAATTTACTTGGGACATTTGTGAACCTTCAAGTTCCTTAAAGCACAGAGATTCTTATCCAGCTGAATCAGTTGCAGAAGAAACCTTTCTATCCTGGTACTAGTTGACCAACTCCTTGTATTCCAAAATATTTTATGTAGAGTACCTCAGTCCAGTCCCAGGAATAAGAAAGCTTAGCGCTACAGCCCCACATCCTTATCTTCATGCGGCGGTGGAAAGTTTTTACAAGTACAATTTTACCTTTAATCAGACAATCCTCGTTACTTAAATTTCAAATGAATTATTGATTGACCTACTGCTTTTGTGGTCTAGTGGTCAGCGTTCCTGACTACAGATCCAGAGATACGGGTTCAATTCCCGGCGCTACCAGATTTTTTCGGAGAAGTAGTGGGTCTGGAACGGGGTTCACTCAGTCTCGTGATGATAATTGAGAAGCTATTTAAAGGAAATAGCGGCTCCGGTCTAGAAAACCGAAATTAAGGCCGTTGGGATTTGTTGCACTGACCACGCGACACCCTCTATCCGCAAAAGTTGGCACTAAACTTCGCCTACAAGCCGAGGTCGCTCGTTCGGTATAGTTAGCTTATGGACTGAAGTCACGGAATTTTATTGATTCGTCTGTGTCCATATTAACTATAAATTTTCTGAAAATTGTTGCAGGTAATTTCACCTGTCTAGCTGTGGTTTTCAACTTGAGGCGGCGGCTGGGATATCACCTGTTCCATACTTACACACCGTCTGCTCTAATTGTGGTCATGTCTTGGATCTCGTTCTGGATCAAGCCTGAGGCCATTCCAGCCCGCGTCACCCTGGGCGTTACTTCGCTTCTGACACTCGGTGCGTGCTCAACTCAACGCTTGTGCCACTGCGTCTGTTGTATCATGCTTGACTTCGCGAAATTGCATGCGGTTAACTCCATAGAGGAGAGCCCTCTTTGAGTGTTAGCAGTCGCATAATTAAACCCAAATTTACTGTCGTTTATGGGGACCGAAGATTCATTACTGGGATTGGTCGAGAGGCATCAACATTTCAGACGATCCTATTGTACTTATATTCAAGGTTGAGGTGTTACTTTGAAGATGGAGGAGGCACGTTTCTGCTAAATGCGTGTGTCTGTCTATGAAACTACGCGTTCTCACACCCGACAAAACTTACCTTCGTCAGAACATAAAATCTTATGCTTATTCCTTTGTTCACAAGAGCAAGCCACGGATCTCATTTTCCAGACATTTGAATTCAGTCAGCACGGATATATGCCATCTCTCTAACATTCATCCATGACTTTGTCTCCCAAGCGGTCGCTTCAGGATTTTCAAGTTTCGTCACTTCCCACGTTTGACACATGTCGCATGAATTTATACTTAGCACCCTAATAATATCTGGTGAAGGAAGCTAGTCATGAAATTCCTCATGATGCAGTTTGCCCGCTACCTGTTAGTTCCTCCTTGGGCCCAAATAATCTCACCACTTCCCTGTTCTCAGATATCCTCAGTCTATCTGATCCCTCTGAGGAGAGACCATGCTCTGTGCCTCAACGTTACTAGTTCGCTAGCCCGACTTGTACCGAACCGTTGTATATTTAGAAGTTCCTGAGTTTGACTCTAGGTCCGTATATTGGCTGTAGTGACGAGTTCGTTTGTGATTTATCTTAGTCCCTTCAGGAAAGTGCTGAAGAAGAGCCCTAACACAAGGCAGGTCAAATTCCTTCACGTGGTTTTCATTCATCATTCAAAATACTCCTTCCATTCCAAGCTGTGTAACTTATGAAGGTGAGAAATTGTTGTTAAATAAACTAAGTACATCAGAGTGACTGGATTCAAGTGGCTCAGTTTAGGGTTCTATAACCGTCCCTTCCACAGATGGCCATTAGCTGGTTTAGCCAAGTGTTTTTGGATACGAAATGTAACTAGGGCCACTTTGGTTGTGACGACCCTCACCCCTCACTGCTGCTACCTCCAGCCCTCTTCTGGTAACACTCGGGCCACCTTCCGCAAGTTCTCTGTGGAACGGGTAGGATAACTTGGGGGCAGGGAGTGGAATTTGGGCGCCAGAAAGCGTACTTGAGTCGCTTACAATTGGAAGGATAACCGGGCAGGTGAGTATGGAGTCCGTCCGGCTTTCTCAGGGAGAGATGGACTCCGTCCACTCCGGCAGGGCGGGAAGAAGATGGTGTTCACCAATTTCGCGAATACTTTAGCTACTCCACCACGCTTAATTATTTCTTTATTGTGCTTGTAATCTTGACAATATTTTAGTAAATTGATGACGCTGAAACACCGGTTCGCGTCCGTACTACTCACAATCTCGGAGACGACTCCTTGGGAAAATGGGCTTTCTGAGGTAACAGATTCTCTGAGTCCAAAATCCCAAAAAGGAAGCTCCTTCCTGAAACGTGCCCTATTGGTCCAGTTCAGATTCTGGAAGTATTCCAGAAATTTGCATCTACTAATAAACATTTTTCTAGTTCTTAATTACTTTACTGCCCCTTTGGCAGCCTGATGATAACTTGCTCCCAGTAGCGTGAGGTTTGGACCCCCTACCGCTTGGGTGGTAGCTAGAAATAACTGTCAGCCCTCCTTTTCTCAAAGTGGTACTCTTCTGGTTCGACAGCATAATTCAGGAAGTTTAGCGAATGCTACATTCTGTCCATCCATCAAGAATGAACCCATGTCACTCCTGAATGTAGCGTAGTGAATGCCAGATCCTGTGCGCTTCTAACTCAAAATTGTGACTACCTTTCTTAGGTAGCACTTAAACTTTCTTATTTAAGTTAATTTATAATACCTTAACTCTAATGAACGGCTACATTTCAATGGCTGTCTGCTATCAGTACAGCAGCGAATTTCCCATAATATTTACACATGTGACCTTTCAGAAATAACTGTAAGTTAAGATTGCGGTCTTCTTGGAAGTGACGTCTTTTAATCTAGGATCCTGGTAGGGGAAAATGTCAAGGAACTGTGGAACTGTTGATTTCAAGGAAGACCCCCCAACTTTCATTGAAGGTTAAGAAAAGAGCAACTTTCGTAGACGGTCNAATTGCGGTCTTCTTGGAAGTGACGTCTTTTAATCTAGGATCCTAGTAGGGGAAAATGTCGAGGAACTGTGGAACTGTTGATTTCAAGGAAGACCCCCAAAAGGACAACTTTCATTGAAGGTTAAGAAAAGAGCAACTTTCGTAGACGGTCCTACAAGGAGCCTCTTCAAAGAAATACTCACATGGGAAATTCTGTGTTAGAAAAATCATCATTGTAGCAACATATTTCAAAGTCATCATCAAGTTGTTTTGATATACAGTCATGTTGCATGACTGCCTCTGTGGTCTAGTGGTCAGAGTTCCTGGCTACGGATCAAGAGGTCCCGGGTTCGATTCCTGGCACTACCATATTATCTGAGAAGTAGTGGATCTGAAATGGGGTCCACTCAGCCTCGTGAGGATAACTGAGCAGCTATTGCAAGGAAATAGCGGTTCGCTCGGTTGGTGTAGTTCGTTTGCGGACTAAAGTCACAGAGTTAATTTTCTTTTTGTTTGTCTTGTTGCATAACCGTTATAGATGTTCCGTGTCCTCTACATCGCTAGTTATCATTAATAGACGCATTTCTGGAGTTGTTACGATAAAAGTAAAAAGTAAAGGTAACCATGTAACAGGCCGTGGAGTCCCACAGGGTTGTGAGACGTTGAGGCTCTCACATTTTCTAGACAATCAGCTTATAGATGTGGCAAGGTTGTCAGCCCTACGCGTCGGCTGCCCTTTACCCCCAAAATAATCCAAGAATATTCCTGGTACTCATTTCTGTTAGAGGCTGAGTTGACCTCAGGCCCATAGTGCGGCTGGAAGGATCAGGTCAATTGAAAAAGAATCCAATGACCTCATCGTGACTTGAACCCGCGACCTTCCGGCTTGTAGTATAGTGCCTCAACCAACTACGCTACCGCGTGGAGATGTTACAGAGCAATACAATTCACAGTCAATGTAGATCGACTAGTTCCTTGACAGTTTAAGTGACCCTCAGACACTCGGGAATAGCGGTTCGCAACTGTTTATTTTTTCTCATGGCCCACTTCTGTGGCCCCCATCTCCCATATTATTTAATTACTATTGTAATTAAATAATATGGGAGATGGGGGCCACAGAAGTGGGATGTAATGTAATGTAATATTTATAATAAATATGTACTTTATCGACTGAACTATTTATAATATGTATTATTTGTTTAAAATACAAGGAATATTAATTAATTATTACAATCTATGACTGCCCCATTTCTTAATATTTGAAAGATGTGGACAATTTTGTAAGTCAGTGTTCATAAAAATAACATTGGAAGCCATTCTACTTAAAATAAATACAAAGCTACTTCAATCAATTCGAAAAAATTCCCTTTCGCAGAGGGAGGTTATTCAAATTATATTGAAAGCTAATAATTTATTTGTAATGAAAGTTCAAGTTATTACGAAGTGTAAAGCTTAGTTGTCGAAAAATAGTAACTGGAGTTTGTAACTTACCCCCGAAGTAGGGAACTGCCACAATAATAGAACTTGCGCAGAAAAATGCCTTCATCCGGACACTCCGAATACTGAACTGAAGAACACCGGAAATTTACTGAAAAGTTGGCGGTAAAACTCACGAGATGAGTGGCAGATATTTAGGAAAATAAAGGATCATTTTTCCAGTTAACCATTTCGTTAGGGCTTTGCCCGCTCCGAGAAGGCGAGTACCTGTTTACCAGTNCACAGTCTGCTTTTACCGGTTCTCACGGTCTCTTCGCTTGCAGATTTCTTATATTTTTTCTTCTACCCTAAGATGGAGGCGATACGTTCCTCCGAAACGTCGGTTAACACCACATATACACGGTGCCAAATCCCAGAAGACTGCTTTCTTCAAAAACAAGGATATTGAGTTATTGTGTCATTGTATGTACTGATAATTTGACTTTACTGTTTGTTTTTATATTATTAATAATTTTATTTTAGAAGTAACATTTTCGTGGCCCACTTAACAGTTCTCATGGCCTTCCATTTTTCCGACATTTACCTGTTGCCCCTGCGAAATCTGGCATGGCCCCCGTTGAGGACCACTGCTCAAGGAGATTCTGTTGAACTGAGATATCCTGGTTTCACAGCCACGCAGAACACCCAGTCACAGCAGTCCCTTCCGCCAGTCTCGTACGTGAAAGCAATCGACGTGTGGATGTCATCATGCTCTGTGTTCGTGTTTCTGTCCCTCATGGAGTTCGCTATTGTCAACAATTACATGGGTCCAGTGGCAACTAAAGCTATGAAAGGCTACTCAGAAGAGGACATCACATGCCCGGAACAAGACTTTAAGGTACAGTAACTGTTGAATATGAATTTCTGGGTCATGACACCGTGTAACCTGGTAGGTTATTACCAATGTTTCAGAGGAATCTACTGCCTTTCTCCGAAACGTTTGCAAACTTTTGCCTTTTCACATGGTATCATTACCCGGAAGAATTTGTTGCTTTTGAAAATCGTAAATCTCAGATAGATTTGCCCTCCATTTCGAGCTCAATAGTTCCATGTGATTCGTGTGAGACCGACAAACCGCTTACAACCACTCAGCAGGTTTCAGATAATCCCTAACCTAAATGCTTTCAAGCAAGCAATGATAAGGACAGATATGTAAGAATCTATTTGCAGTATTTTTATATGACAGAAGATGATAACACATGCATGCAGTTCTTGTAAGCTTCAGCGTCCGTCACTGCTACCACTTTGCCGGGAAAACCCCTAGAACACAGTAAACTGAGGACATGAAATCGAATGTCGTGGTCGAGAGGGTAATATTCCTGGTTCGTATACGGGAGATCGCCGGTTCACATTTCTTCTTCTCTTGTTCTTCATTATCTTCCTCCTCTCATTGTAAACCCAATTTTTTTTCTTCAGTGTCTGCCGACTAGAAAATATCTGATCACTGGTTGATCTGTTACGTCGAAGATCACACTGATAACCCCAATCATTTCGTGTATATATGGACTTCACCTCGAGAGAAGAATATTGAATGAAATTTTGTACGAAGTTGATAACATTGAAGTAGCGCGATTATTACGTGTACTACAGTCAGCTTCAGCGCCCTTGTTGTAAATTGGTATAGTAAGAAACACCTTCCACTGCTGAGGAAATTCTTTCTCATTCCAAATAGAATTAATTAGCTTAATATTTAATATTTCACCTGTTGCCTGAGGCAGTTCTGTCGGATTTGGTCAATGCCTGCGGATTTATACTTTTCCAAATTTGCAGTAGCAAAGCCAGCCTCAAGAGGAATAGGCTCAGGGACCGTGCCATCGCCGGTTTCCCACAGGGCAGCCCGGATTCGAACTCAGGTCAGGTATGTGAGATTTGTGGTGGAGAAAGTAGCACTGGGGTAGGTTTTCTCCGAGTACTTCGGTTCTCCCTGCCAATTCTCGTCCCACCGGCTGCTCCATATTGATCGTCATCTATCATCTGGGGATGGTACAATAGGCCAATTAGTGGCCGACGTCTCAGTCTCACCGCACCCAAGAAACTAAAAAACTAAAGTAAAACTACTAACGGCTCGGCCGTATGTATTTCTATCTGCCTAACATCACTGACACTATACAGTGAATAGCTGTGAGAAGTAGTTCTTCCGCCTTTTCAAAATGCTGTGGATCTTTACTGAGTTACTTCTAGGTTGATAAACCTATCATAAAGTCATTGATATCTCTATAGAGGTCTCTAATGTGCTTCCTTTTATGTGTTTCAAGCTAATTAATTTCGTCTTTCAGATACTCTCTGTTTCTTCCTGAAATGCCTCCTAGCTTCACGTTTTCAGTTGTTCAGATTATCCCCAGTTATTTCGCTTGAGTCCTGTAACGACTGGAATTTGGCTTCTTTCCTTTTCTCTAATAATTTAAGCATCTTTCGTCGAACCATGGATTATGCTGTTTAAATTCGTAATAACCTAGACTCTCTTTGGTTCAAATATTCACAAATCGCCTCCCGCGTGAGTCGTCAGTAGGTTAATTTTTACCTAAATCGTAGCCTCAGTTTGGAGTATCCATTAAAATAAATATGATGTTTATTTACGGGTTTCGAACACCGAGGCTACTCTTGATAACACTGAAGAATACGTTATGAATCTGTTGCATCTTACTTCAGCGCTGGAAACGGATGTAGTTCTTCTAGAACGACCCCTTCCCATTTTCTTCATAATATTTAATTCATTACGAAATATAAAATCTAAAGGTCTGCTATATGCTCATCTGTAGGTTTTCCTTCTTCGAAGTCTCTGAGCTCAAAAATCCCTCAGACACCGCCCCCCCCCCAAAGAAAAATATTATGTTTACTATGACCATCAGCCCATTCCTTTCTTACGCAACTATGAAACAGGCATAAGAATTCTTATACGTTCATGTAATTAGATGCACACTAACTTACTGTATCCTATTCATTTATTTACAGGACTTCACGCCGAGGGGCCGAAGTCCCGTCAGGGCCCTGCCTGCGATCCCACAGTACGCCACATTCTGCCACGGGCGGAAGACGGCGCTGTACATAGATAAAATGTCTCGGTTCTTCTTTCCTTTCTCATTCTTCATTTTAAATGTTGTCTACTGGTCAACTTTCCTGTAGGCCTGAGCGCAAGTTATTGTCAAGTTCTGAACTGTCTGTAAATGACTAACCCAGTAATTTCACAGGTGTGTTGACAGTCTGTTGAGATGCTCTCGCTGAAATAGCGAAGGCAAGTGTACCATTTCGGCTGGATACTTCAGACGAAGTTCATAGCAACAGCACGGCCGTCGCTGCAATGCCTGAATCATAGACAAAGAAAGAAGAAAAGAGCAACTAAAAAAAGGGAGAAAGAGAGAACCACAATAGCTTATGTCGACCAAATAACAATTTCCCTCCATTGAAAGCATCAATCAAGTGTTGAGATATGTGTTATCATTTCGCGGTCTAGAAAACCGAAATTAACGGCCGCGGGGATTCGTTGGCGCTGACCACGCGACACCCTCTATCCGCTAAAGTCGGCACTAACTTCGCCGACAAGCGACGGTCGCTCGGTCGGTACAGTTCGCTTGCGGACTAAAACCACAGAGTTAGTTAGTTATCATTTCGAACTGGAACACCTGGCAACATTTTAGAGCTCAATGGGACAGAGACTTTATGACACACAAGCAGAAGTACCCATTGAAGAATGCTGTCTTCTGGGATGTGGCGCCGTATAGATATTGTGTAAACCGGCGTTTCGGAGGAGCGTATCGCCTCCATTTTCAAGGTAGAAGAAAAAATCCGCGAGCGAGGAACCATTCTTCGTAGTCACCGCAAAGAAAACCTCGAATCTTGCAAGTGTTCCTCTATGGGGGCTACTCATCGGCACGTTTGAACACTCGAGAGGCAACGAACCAAGAAGATCAAGCTGCAGCCACTTGCTCACGCTGGTCCTCGCTCGCCGCTGTTTTCTTCTACACTGAAGATGGATGCGATACATTCCTCCGAAACGTCGGTTTGCACAAGATCTACACGGCTCCACATCCCAGAAGACGGCATTCTTCATAGTCACCGCCGTGAAAACCTCAAATCTTACACAGAAGTGCCCACTCTCTGTCCGGGATATAGTTCTTTTCCTTATGAACACAACAATTGTAGTAAGCAACATTTTAAAAAGGAGCAAAGCGTATTAACAAACGAAAGCTTGCTCGTTTAATTGAAAGGGAATACTTGAACATCGCTTTTTTACGAAATGTTATTAAGAAGTTCTTAGAGAGGAACTCACCTCCCATACACACCCAGGCCCCTAGGCACACCCTTCTTCCACATAAAAATTGTACACTAATTTCAGGATAATTTATTTGAAAGTTAATAATAATGCTCTGTGCTATGAGCTTAGTGAACAGAGACTGCGCTCTAGCTACACCGCGCACATCCGCTATAAAAGTGATGTATGGGCCTCCTTCATTGTCCACATCCCCAGCTCCACTGCTACCAGGTCACACTAATCAGCCTCGTGAGAACTGCAAGTTTAATTTGACAGGAACACTTTATGTATACATGTAATCCTTTAATTCAATACACTGTCAGTAGCTCAGGCTACATAATATCAAATTGTAAGACGATTAGGGAACAATAAATACCAAGGATGTTAAAGACAGCTGCTGTGTTTTAATTTAAGTTTTAATCTGAAATTTTTCGGAAGAGACTGAGGAAGATGACAGGAAACCTCAGGCAGGATATTATGTTTCTGGACTGACATTTAAACCCGACATCTAATATACTCGTATATGATGCAAGGATGTGAACCCACTGACCGCGATGTTGTGTGCTGCACCAGTTGTACCAAGAGCAGCGAAACATTTGGGGCACGCGGTAGCGCAGTCGGTTGAGGCACTATGCTACAAGCCGGAACGTCGCGGGTTCAAGTTCCGATGAGGTCACTGGATTTTTTTTTCAATTTACCTAATCCTTCCAGCCGCACTATAGCCCTGGGATCGACACAGCCTCTAACAGAAAAGGAATCTTCCTGGGGAATAAAGAGCGGCCGGCGCGTAAAGCTGACAACCTTGCCGCCATCTGTGAGCCGATTGTCTAGAACAGCGTTGGTCAACCTAATACATCTCGAGGGCCAAATTTAGTTTATAGAACACCTTCACGGGCCAGATACAGTGTTTCTTTCAGAAGAGTGGTCGGGGAGTAGTGCCCCCCAAACCGAATCAGTCACAACCCGTGTAAAAACAAGTGCATTTAAACCTATGTATTTAAATTTTACGTTGCACCAATAATATTAAGCCGATATTGAAAATTTCACCAATCGATTTTATTGCCTTCTATCACTTGTACCCCCAGAGCATTTTTTCTTAAAGAAACACTGGCCAGATCATGCCTTATGCTTAGTTTTATATATTCCTTGGAAAAATGCAATTATAATTTAAGAAAGAAAAATAAAATGCCTTGAAATTTGCAATTACTTACCATAAAACAGCACAAATTCCTCTTTCAGCAGGGATGAGCACAAAAGGCTTTCAATCAAAGTTTTTATGGTCTAATGATTATACCTAAATCCTCATATACACACTGTTTTAATGAGAGCACTGTGGTTTCATAAAACTGGAAACCAATGATATAAAATCCACTTGTAATTGTGAGGTTGCCACTCGA